GGAAGAGTTTTCCATGCATATACATACTCATCAAATACTATATTTAACATTCTTATTACATGCATGTGTGGTAAATTTGATACTGACCAAAATCTAGCATGGAATAGTAATAAATATAATTTTTCAAGATCAAGTTTAGATTTACCATCTTTCCTTGTTCAGAGCTTTAATAGAATTAGAAGGATTTTTAGCTTTATTTATGTAGCTTATACTCCTTAAGCTGACAGTTAAATAGCTACAATAAATTACTTCTGAAGACTGACCAGATTCCACATCTGGCACTAGAAAAAGTCGATTGCCCCTGCAGGCAAACAAAAGAATGAATCTTAAAAAGTACATCAGAGAAAGGTTAATCTGTTGGAGAATAAACCCTGGAAAGAAAGCAGAGTTGCCATTTACATAGATGGGTTGTGCCCCAGAGCAGTGGGTGTGGGTCTTCCCGTCTCAACAAAATGTTCCTCTCCTTGTAGCCAGGTTTCCTCTGTGTCTGACTTGGTAATGCTGCAAGAAAAATCTCACATGAAATAGCTCTGCATTAGTGGTGTGGTTTTCACCTTCAAAGCCTTAAAAGATCAGTTTATTTTTTTAAGTTTCTCTTTCACCTGAAACAGAAGAGTGTCAGATGTAGTTGTAGTTTCCTTTGGTTATAAAATAAGTTTAAATGCTACAAAACCAGCATAGGCATTGTTGGTTTTTTTTTTTTCCTTATGAGAAGCTTGAGGCTGACTCCCTTTATTTTTGGGAGTGGTATCAGAAGCAGTTTGTGATAAAGAGAATGAGGAGTATTTCTAAGAACCTAAAAATGAAAGGCCAGATGGGAACACCCAAATGTGTTGTTTCCAAAAAGGGAAATTAGAGCCGGCAGGTTTACACCCACATCCTACCACTGCATTATGTTGGGGGAGACAACCTGGGGGAGTCACTTCAAGTAACTGGTTTCAGGGTTACATGATGACATAAGAAGTTGGCATTAAACCTGACTTGCAATCAGCAAGTCTGTGGTTCAGTGCAGTGTTAGTTGTGGGTTTGACTTTGTCACGTCTCATGGGTGCACAAGTCAATCATCTGTGGGGTTGGTGGTGTGAGTAAAGCTTCAGTTCCAGCTCTGCTGGCTTTCTGAAAGCCCATCACTATGAAAAATGGTGTGTATTTTTCAAGCTAGGGTTTTTTTTCCTGGTGTTGTAAAGTGACCTTGTGAAATGTCTGGGCAATCACAAGTACCTGAAATAATCATGTAGCCAGTTCTTACAAAAAGAACTACTGGAGGAGGGAGGCTGAGCTGCAAACTCAAGGGTGTAGGAACATATGCAACTGTGCATAGCTGGGGTAAAGCAACTGTAAATAAATATGTGCTTTTGGGTGCCAGAGGCAGCAGGGGCTCACTTCTTCCATAGTGCTGATCAAAGTGATAGAATTACAAATTACTAAATAAGTGTTTCTAAATTCTAAAATTTAATTTTGGCCAGGTTACACTTAACATTGCTTCTTGTAGTCCCACAAGCAATTTTTGTCAGCCCTGGTCTATGTAGCTGGTGTGGTCCCAATAGAAACATTTATCACACTGCAGCCTGGGGGCTGAGTCTGTCCAGCTCTGTGTTTTCCCTCTTTGGAATGGGGATTAGATTTGCAGCAGATGAGTAATTATTTTAATTGTATTAAATTCTTACAGGAGCTGTTTGGGAGAGAGCTGCCCCAGACTGTAGTCAGCTGGTAATTTAAAAGACAGGATTGGTGTCAGGAAGCTGATAAGCCCATGTGGGGATTTCATTTCTTAGAGATTTTTTTTAGGAAAACTGGCTGGGGAGTTGCTGACCAGTGAGCTGTGACCGACTGGGAAGGTTGTGGGGCTGCATCTCCCTGGGCAGCTGGTGGCACCTCATGGGGTCACAGGTTGGGGAGAGGCACTGGGAGTGTCTTGGGGGCTGCTGGCTCCTGCCTTTCCCACCCTTGTGGAGGCAGCCTAGGGGTCCCTTGGGCAGCCTGGGGGTCCCCTGGGCTGGGTGGACTCTGCTTGGCACCTCTGCACTGAGCCCTCTGGAGGGGGCAGAGCAGCAAGAATGTCTCCTCCGCCTGCCTTTGCACAGAGCCAGCTTTTCATCTGCCTTTCTTTCCCATTGTTCTGGCATTTCTCATGCTGGGAACTCCTGCCTTGCAGAGCAATTTAAGGGCCATGTAAAAGTCCCCTGGACACTTGCTTAAGAAGTGCTTTGTTTTCAGACAGCAGCCTTTGTGTTTCTTCCCTTGTGCCTTCATTTTGACTTGTCCTTTCATTGTCCTTTCTCCCCTCCCTGAAATCAGTAATTCTTTCAGGTTAGTGTCCATCTCCAGTGCCCCAGCAAGCACTGAGAAGATGACTTACCATTCCAAAACAGGAAACACCACAGTGTGAGTCTGAGTAACACGTCAGCCTTTGAGTCCCCAGGGTAGAGTCCGTGCTCTTTATCCTCCCCAAGTACAGATTTTTCCTGACACTTTTAAGACACTTTTCCCAGGCACTTTTAAGAAAATATGCTCAGTCTCTTCAGAGACAGGACCACACCACAGCTGTCCCTTCTGTACAACCTCCAGTCACTGCATATAGCAGTGATATGCTTTTGTATGTGGGTGCTGAGGGCTTTGCATGGGCAGTGTGGTGGGTTTTCCAGGACAGGTTGTCTCCACACAGTTTGCAGACCCCTTCTGAAGTTTGTTCTGGCTGAGGATGCAGGAGAAGCTCAGTGCCAACATCTTGTAGGAGTCCTGACCCTTGTTTCAGGCTTTTGCTCCTTTATTCTCTCCCAGTGTCCCTAGCTTAAGGAGCTTCCAGCCTTTATGTATTGCTCTTGAACAAGGAGCTGTAAAATCCTATTGAAATCTGGGATCAGGCAAAGTCACTGTATTCCCAAACACCTGTTGGCGTAAACGAGCTTGAGGTACTCCAAGGTTTCTGACATTTAGTGGTTGGCAGGTGGGTTTCAGGAGTACTTGCTTGATTTAGGAAACCAGTCCCATCCATGGTCTCTTAATTCCCAGTATGATGTTGAACATCACAGGGAGACCTGCAGTTGGTGCCTCCATCAGGAGAGAGGGAGATGGGTAGAAAACTGGAGTAATTTGTAGTTCGTTTTGAATCTCCAAAAAGATCAGAAGGGTTTTCTCAGAAAATCTCTGGCAAAGAAGACTTTGTACAAAATGTGCTTTCCTGCTTGACTAAGAGATAAGGCACAGGTGATATCACTGTGAGTGCTGAACCCTTTCTTCCTCCAGCTCTTTGCAGACGACCAGGAACTAGTTTTCCACCTCAGCCCATTAGTGCTATGACTCTTGCTTGCTCCAGGCTTTCAAAAGACAAGTGGTAATTCTGAGCTCTTTGAATGCCATGAAAAACAGTCAGTACAGCATTGCTCAGTTTGTCACTGTTGGCCTTCCTTTCCCTAAGCAGTGATTTACTGATCCTTTGACTGTTCTGGTCCTTCCAGCAGACAGGAATATCACTTGGAGACTTTTCAGAGTTCTTGCTCAGTTGGGAAGCCGGGTAGATAGGGAAGGTGATGGCCACACCATTGGCAAGGGAGCATAAGAAAGAGGTCATAAAATCATAAAATGGTTTGGGGTGGATGGGACCTGAAAGATCATCCAGTCCCACCCCCCTGCATGGGCAGGGACACCTCCCACCAGCCCAGGCTGCTCCAAGCCCCATCCAACCTGCCCTTCAACACTGCCAGGGATGGGGCAGCCAAAGCTTCCCTGGGCAACCTGTTCCAGTGTCTCACCATCCTCACACTGAAGAATTTTCCCCTTGTCCTCTCCCTCCCTGCCCTTGTCCCAAGTCCCTCCCCAGCTTTCCTGGAGCCCCTTCAGGCACTGGAAGCTGCTCCCTGGAGCCTTCTCCAGGCTGAAAAAGCCCAGCTCTCAGCTTGTCAAGGTTTGGTACCAGCTCTGGTACCAGAACACGTTTGCCCGGCTCAGAGACAGGGGAGCTTTATTACCCTGTTATCAGATACTTAATTCCCATGTAGTGTTTCCTGCTTGGGAGCTTCCTTCAGGCATTGAGGGCAGAAGAATGCAGTTCACTCTTTTGTAATTTTATGTACCGTTTAGATTTTTCAGACACCATCACGTGCATGGCTGCCAGGAGAAGGTCTGTGCTCTTTGCAGACAGCCCTACTGTTGTTTGCCTACAAGGACTTCCTCCTTCCCAAAAACGTGTGTAGCTATTCTTTTCAGGTGCTTTTCCCTGCCCATCCAGTCCCACCCCCCTGCATGGGCAGGGACACCTCCCACCAGCCCAGGCTGCTCCAAGCCCCATCCAACCTGCCCTTCAACACTGCCAGGGATGGGGCAGCCAAAGCTTCCCTGGGCAACCTGTTCCAGTGTCTCACCATCCTCACACTGAAGAATTTTCCCCTTGTCCTCTCCCTCCCTGCCCTTGTCCCAAGTCCCTCCCCAGCTTTCCTGGAGCCCCTTCAGGCACTGGAAGCTGCTCCCTGGAGCCTTCTCCAGGCTGAAAAAGCCCAGCTCTCAGCTTGTCAAGGTTTGGTACCAGCTCTGGTACCAGAACACGTTTGCCCAGCTCAGAGACAGGGGAGCTTTATTACCCTGTTATCAGATACTTAATTCCCATGTAGTGTTTCCTGCTTGGGAGCTTCCTTCAGGCATTGAGGGCAGAAGAATGCAGTTCACTCTTTTTTAATTTTATGTACTGTTTAGATTTTTCAGACACCATCACATGCATGGCTGCCAGGAGAAGGTCTGTGCTCTTTGCAGACAGCCCTACTGTTGTTTGCCTACAAGGACTTCCTCCTTCCCAAAAACGTGTGTAGCTATTCTTTTCAGGTGCTTTTCCCTGCCTACCTCACGTTGGCCCTTCAGGTGTCAAGTTCCCATGTGATAAGAACAGTTTTCTTGGGAGGTCTTTGTCCCACCCAAGGAAAAACCATGCTGTCTCAAGGCATCTTGCAGCCTCTGACCAGCAGAGGGATCCCCAGCCCTGCAAGAGAGGGAAGAGTCCTCTGGCAGAGCTCTGAAGGAAATGTTGAAAAATTACAGGCAAGGAAACAATGTATAAAGATGTGAGTTGAATCCTTCAACCTGGAGAAGAGAAGGCTCCACGGACACCTCGTAGCAGCTTTCCACTGCCTTAAAAGGGCTCCAGGGAAGCTGGGGAGGGACTTTGCACAGGGGCAGGGAGTGAGAGGACAAGGGGTGACAGACTGAAGCTGGAAGAGGGAGATTGAGGTTGGACATTAGGAGGAAATTCTTGAGAGGAGGGTGGTGAGACTCTGGCCCAGGTTGCCCAGGGAAGCTGTGGCTGCCCCATCCCTGGCAGTGTTGAAGGGCAGGTTGGATGGGGCTTGGAGCAACCTGGGCTGGTGGGAGGTGTCCCTGCCCATGCAGGGGGTTGGAACTAAATGGTCATTAAGGTCCCTCTAACCCAAACCAGTCTGGAATTCTGTGATTCCAACAACACTTGTTGTTTGGTAACTGTTCCCCAAACCTGTTACTGGGTAACTCGGTGACTGTTTTAATGCAGATGAAAATCTTTAGGGGATGTGTGAAAGCACAGCATTTTTTATTAAAGTAGTTTTTTTTTTAATGTATTGTTATTTACCTCTATTTAACAACTGTTTGTTATATTAAAAAATTGTATACTTGCTTCTTGCTGCCCTTTTTCTTACCTCATTTAATATCAATTCTCTCCCCACTCCCACTGTGTTTCTTTTAAATAAGTCCTTCACACAGCAGCAGGGTAGGTGAAAGAAACAAGGGATGGAGGATAAGGTCATTAGAACTAGTGAGTTAGCAAGTGGGATTGACAATTTGTCTGGTTTAGACAGTTTTGAGACAGAGTGAGGAACAGAAGTTCTGTTCTTTGCAGGGGTCTGTAGCTGTTCCTGACTTAGACTGGATATTAAGAAGAATTTCTTTACCAGAAGAGTGGTCAGGCACTGGAACAGCTGCCCAGGGTGGTGGTGGTGGAGTCACCACCCTTGGAAGGATTCAAGAAACATGTAGATGTGGCCCTTCAGGACATGCTCTAGTGGGCATGATGGGTGCTGTTGTCTTGTTTGGAGGACTGGTGGTTTTTTTTCTCCTGAGGGGTCAGTTAGACTTGGTGATCTTAGAGGTCTTTTCCAATTGTTTTGATTCTCTGGTTAGTACAACTGTGCTGTGCAGGAACGGGACTTGAACATGCTCATTTAGCTTAGCTGAGAGCCCTTCCTAGTTAAGCCCTGTCTGAAACCTCAGTGAAAAAGGAGATCAGAAGCAAAAGGACATGCCCAGGTTGTTGATTAATCCCTTGGCTGCTTGATTTCATCTTGTGAATTCACCTGTTTCTTCCTGACCTGCAGGAGGTGTCACCAGTAGGAGCGGCCACTACATCTCAGTTGCTCCAGGGGCTGAGGCCAAGTTCCACAGCACCTCCAGCCTCTGCAGCCCCAGCAGCACTTGAACACATCCCCACTGCTGCTGTTTTGGGGTCAGCTCATTTAGCTTAGCTGAGAACCCTTTCTAGTTCAGTCCTGTCCGAAACCTCAGTGAGAGAGGAGATCAGAAGTGAAAAGTCACATACACATTGTAGCTTAACCCTGTGGCTGCTTGATTCCACCTTGTGAATTCACCTCTCTCTTCCTGACCTGCAGGAGGTCTCACCAACGGGAGCGGCCGGTACATCTCAGCAGCTCCCGGGGCTGAGGCCAAGTACCGCAGCGCCAGCAGCGCCTCCAGCCTCTTCAGCCCCAGCAGCACCCTGTTCCCTTCCTCCCGCCTGCGCTACGGCATGTCCGACGTGATGCCCTCGGGCCGCAGCCGCCTGCTGGAGGATTTCCGCAACAACCGCTACCCCAACCTGCAGCTGCGGGAGATCGCCGGCCACATCATGGAGTTCTCCCAGGATCAGCACGGATCCAGGTGGGGTTCGGAACCCGGCGCTGTGGGAAGGCTCTGGGGTGGGGGGGAAAAGCTGCTCTTGGAGTTGTTTGCGTCGCGTCTTGAAGCGAAGAGGGAGAACAGGGAAAAGGAGGTGTGAAAACTCAAGTGCTGTGATGTTCTGACCCTTCTTTTTGAAGGTTTGGGTATAGACACTGACAGCAGGAGCTCCTTTGCAAGTGCTGTGATGTTCTGACCCTTCTTTTTGAAGGTTTGGGTATAGACACTGACAGCAGGAGCTCCTCCTCTGAAGAGCAACTTGCTTGCTGCATAACTTGCTTGCTAGTCCCACTGTCACAACTCATTCTAAAGAGCCACCTGGATGAGACACTTTGCTGTGTTACTGGTTGAGATCTATTTTGTTTTAAATGAGGAGATTTTTTGGGATTATTGACAATGACTTGTGACTGTGCTCCTCATGGCAGCACCCACCTCGAGGTTTCAGATGGCTGGGTAAGGCGACTGTGCCTCAAAAGTTTGTTTTGCAAGAGCTTGATGTATGAGGGTTTTGGAATGGATTTGTGTTAACAGATGCATCAAGGGGGTATGTGCCAGTAGCATCACACCAGCCCTGTTTTCCAGGTTTATCCAGCTGAAACTGGAGCGTGCTACCCCAGCAGAACGTCAGCTCGTGTTCAATGAGATCCTCCAGGCAGCTTATCAGTTGATGGTTGATGTTTTTGGAAATTATGTCATCCAGAAGTTCTTTGAAGTAAGTCTGCATTCCACTACAGTCTAACTTGGATGCCTTCTGTGCCAAGGTATTGGACAGGCTCATAGAAACCCTGCTATTTGGCTAAAATGGTGGATAGTTGCCAAAACTGATGTCACCTCCTCCCCACAGGCTGTTGCATCTTTCCTGTTGGGGTGACCGAGGTTTGGGACTCAAAAGATTCATCTGAAAAGTAACACTTAGCTTTGAGATGCATAAGGTGTAGGAATAAATAGCAACTTATCCAGGAGATGTAGGTCCAACCAGACTTCTCAAGGATGCTGTGCTGAGCTGTCAGTACTCATGTATTTAGGAACAGAAGAGAAGCTTTTCCAGTGAACAGCATCAGCTAGAAGAAGGTGTTTTGTTTTCATACCAGGAGGGTGGGCAGATGTCCAGCTGTCCTTCCTGAGCCTGATCTGTTCCTTCTCCACCAAACTTTGGTGGTTCTTTTATCCACTAATCTTATATCAACTTTGTCGAGGATTAGCGTGTGGACACAAGGCACCCTGGTGACTCCAGCACCTTTGACTGGAGTTTTTGACACGTCAGGCTTGTCTGACTGCTGCCTGTTGCCATCCGTTGAGGTGGGGTTGGTAGTTTGCAGTGTTTGTTAACACCTCAGTGCTATGGGGTGGGTGGGCTGCTGGGCCACGTGAGAGGGTTGTGCTGGTAGTGACTGCTTGTCATCTTCCCAGTTTGGCAGCCTGGAACAGAAGTTAGCCTTGGCAGAACGTATCCGTGGGCACGTTCTGTCCCTGGCTCTGCAGATGTATGGCTGTAGGGTGATCCAGAAGGCCCTGGAGTTTATTCCCCCAGACCAGCAGGTAATTGTAAGTTTCAATTTTAACTTTCTTCTTGATGTTTAATGTTCCTTGCCGTTTGGTGACCTGAACTGCGACCTTCTGTTCCTCTTGTGGCTGGTGTTCTTTTGGTTTGGTTTCTGGCATGTTTGTTGTGTTTCTGTGCATGACAAGTATGTGACACCATCCTGGGTCTCGTTGTCATCTCCTTGTTTCACTTAACTGGTAATGGTGTTGGTTCTCCATGAATTCCCTGAAACCAGGTTGTGTGTGTAGGGGAAGCTGAGAATGACAGTGAATTAGAAGATATTTTTTAAATCCCTTGAAGGAAGCAATGCCAGAGTTTTGCCTCTAATATTTGCTGAGATATCACTGCTTTGATATGTGGGTCAATATTCTGCTTTCCTCCTCGTCGAGCCTGGCCTGGCACTGGGGAGATGTGGTTGATAGCCCGAGTCCCACTCTAAGCTCATTAATAAAGCAGTTCCCCCAGGGTTTTATGAACAATGAATTAAGGTGAAAAATACGCTAGGCAAGCTAGCTAATAAAGGTGTTAGGAATCATAATACCAGAATCTCAATGTAGGTTATTAAATTAAAAAACTGCAAGAGGCTTTAGGAATTCTCATTCCCTTTAGGCTAAGCCTGGGCTGATCTGTTGCCTCAGTGTGTCAGCAGAGTGGAGCCCAAGCTCCAGCACTGCTGCTCCAAGCATTTGCTGCTTGTCTTCCTCCAGAATGTTATTTATGAGTATGTTCTGTTCCTGAAATGCTTGGGTTTTGTATTGGTTGCAAAACTGAACTCATCCAGTTTTGGAGTATTGTTAAAAACCCAAAGCCTGTCATTCTCTGTTTTCTGATTGTGAAGCTTTTAGTCTGCACATGTAGTACATTAGCCATAACTCAACTTTATCTGCTGAGGTTCCTTAATGGTTGTGCATTATTTAAATACCAGCAAGTTCCTATCCCACTGCTGACCCCATTTTAGCAATATATGAAGCTGACACCCAAAAGCTTTGTGAAGTTCTGGCATTTTAGATTTCTTTCTTTTTGAGAGGAGCAGAGAAGGAAATGGGGAATGCACAGTAACATTGTTGATCAGTAATATTTCTTAAATTTGAATACTTTACTTGTAAGAGGACACTCAGGCTCAATGGAAGGAGGGGTTCCTTTCCTAGGAGTGGGGGGTTTTTTTTGCTGTTTCTTTAGCACAGCAAGCTTCATCTCAGCACTTGGCCACTGTAAAACTTCCAATTGGAAGTACATTGATGCACCCTTCACACCTTTCATCTTCCTGACCACGTTTAGCAGTGAAAATTTTGCATTTATCAGCAGTGAATCCTGGTGGTGCTTTCTGTTTGCCTCTGTCTCCCCCTCATAGAACGAGATGGTACGGGAGCTGGATGGCCACGTCCTCAAGTGTGTGAAAGACCAGAATGGGAACCACGTGGTGCAGAAGTGTATTGAGTGTGTGCAGCCTCAGTCCCTGCAGTTCATCATTGATGCATTTAAGGGACAGGTAAGTCTTTCACCAAGATACTGACTCTGATCCTTTATGTTCTTACATGTTGCTTTGAATAGCATAAGAGTGCCTCTAACTTCCTTAACTGTTTAAAATTTTGGCAAGCATCAGTTAGGCTTGAAAGGCTCATGCAGCAACATGAGTGAGACAGAAACTCTTTGGTCCTGTCTCTCTTGCCACTTTGTGCAGGGGTGTCACAGTGAAACATCCTTGCAAAAATGTGGTTTCCTGGAATATCAAGTATTTTTTGACTGATGGAAATAAAAAAGTCTCTCACTAATCCGTCTTCATGGTAAAGGTGGTGAGCAGAGTTTGGTGGTGGGTGTAGTCACCTTTCATTATTATTCCTACCTGTGAGGATGGCTGAGAGAACTGCTGTTTCCCAGGGGTCTCAGACAAGGGGAAAAACATGAGTTTCACCTAGAAAAGGGCAGTTACTTGTGCTTCATTCTCCTGTTGGTTTTTTTTCATGGTATCCCCTCCTGCATTGGTGTCCTGGATATTGTTGTGTAGGTGGCTTTATTCTGCCTGTAGTCAGCTTTTCTTCTTTTACAGCAGCACTGGTTTGGGCATTTCCAACTTCAACTTAATTGGCTTTGGAGGAGGACTTTGAAGTGTTGAGGGTTTTGCCACAGGGATGCAAGGATAGCCCAGGGTTATTAGGCAGGAACCAGGCTTTAGTAGTTTGGCTGCTCCTGAAGCAGCTTTGAAAGTGAGGACTTGCTTGGCTATGTCAAAACAAGCAGGATTCTAGCTGGAAACTTGCTCAGCAGATTTGCTGGTTTGAGTTCAGCTTTGGACCTTCCATTAGGGAGTTAGGAGAGGCAGAAATACCCCTGGGAACTTGGTTGATCACATGGATGTTTCTTTGACCAGCCATCCCAGTTTCATCTGAACTTTCGTGTGGAAGATTAAATCACCTCAAGACTTTTTTTCTGAAGTTAATTGCATGTGGAAGATTAAATTTACCACCTCAAGACTTTTTTTCTGAAGTTAATTGCACTTCAAGTCCTGTTGTCCTGCACAGTTTACTCCATGGTTATTAAAAATTTGCAGACTGTCAATTGAACTTCAATGCTTGGATTTGCTACTTTTGTTAATTTTAAGCCACCAAATAGGACTTTGTGCTTTAGACAGAAAAATGTGCAGCAATAATAAAACGTGTCATGTTCTTACCAGTAGATTTGGTAATCCTTTAGAAATGAGCAAGAAGGTTCTTTGTTGTCACTTCTCCTAAATGCAGTTAAGGCTTTTAAACAAATCCAAACAGTTGAGGAAAATCCTTTGCTTTTAACCTTTCTGGTTCCTACCGTTTCTTGCATAGCTTAAAATACATAGCTGGCAAGCAGTAGCTTGGCTTTATTCTTCTAATCCAGTGTTCTAGCACAGCTTTCTACTCAGGCTTGGCTGTCCCAGTGTACTTTTTATTACTTCAAGAGGCTTTGCCATTTGTTTTCCTGCTCCATGAGTGGGGAGACTGAAGGCCAGGTAGGGATGTGATGTGATCACCCAGTTGGTCCTGTGGCAGTGGGGAGCAGATGGTTCCAGTTCATCCTTCTTGGAGGCTGCAAGCTGGTGTTACCTGCCATGCCTGAGAAAAACCACCATGTGTTCATTTACTGCCAAAAGGTTTCTGGGGTTCACAGAGACTAACAGATGTGTTGCTGCCTGTGCTTGCCTGTCTTTGTCAACTGCAGGTTTTTGCATTGTCTACACATCCCTATGGCTGTCGTGTGATCCAGAGGATCCTTGAGCACTGTCTTCCTGAGCAGACCCTTCCCATCTTGGAGGAACTTCACCAACACACCGAGCAGCTCGTTCAGGTCAGTGTGAGAAGGGGGAACGTGGATGCTGGGAGGTGTTTCTCAGTTACTGCTTTGTGTTAGGAAAGTTCCTGACAGCCTGTTTGGGACTGCAGCTGTAGTGTTGCTGGGGTCCTGGGAACACAGGGACTCTGTTCCTGAGGAGGAAGGAATGTGCCAGGCAAGAAGTGCTTCACCACTAATTGGTTTGGCCATGTGCAAATATCCAACAGATACCACAGCTGTAGTTACTTTCCTTTTTTAAAAAAGATCTTAAGAATTGAGTGTGTGCATGTCCTAATGCTTCACTCCAAGATCATGGGATGTTTTTGGTTGGAAAAGACCGTTCAGATCATTAAGTCCAACCGTTAACCCAGCACTGCCAAGGCCACCACTACAGAAGTTACAGTGCAAGTGAGAGCTTAAGGGAGTTGATACAAAGAGCTGATTACTTCTAGGAGAAGAAAATACCAAGTAATAGGTGTTCTTAAAATGTGTTGGTTTTATGCACACACCTTTCCTGGCTACCTTCGCTCTCCCTTGCTTTCCTTCCTTTTTTTTCTAGGATTCTGTTACTGGGGTATAATGGATGTAACATCAAGTAGACCCTGTCCTGTATGCTCACATATTTAGTTCATGGAATGTGGAAAGAGGTTGAGCATGGCAGTTGGGCATTGGGTTGTGTCTCTGCTACCATGAGCTGGGAAAATGTGTATCTTGTGATCAGAATATACACACATTCAGAATATGAACATGCATAAGTCTCCAGTAGCTAGAGCCATGACACAGCCCTGCAGGACATGTGATTTGATATGTTTGAACCTGGAGAAAACCAAGAAATTTGAAATGAGCAGAATATTGATATTTCATGATCAAGGAAATGGTTTTTGACTTTTATAATGGGTACAAGGATGTAACATTTTACCTCTTGGTAAAGCTCTAGAATGCACGTTTGTGTAGAAGTAGAAAGTATTTACATGGTTTATATGGTATTTTAGTTAGTGTTTAGTTTAAGTTTATAAGTCTTAATGCACATTGGGAACTAGTTTGATATTAATGGTTCTTGTCCACGTTTTGTCACACACTTCTGCTGTCTCTCAAACAGGATCAGTATGGGAACTATGTTATCCAGCATGTACTAGAACATGGTCGGCCTGAGGATAAGAGCAAGATTGTAGCAGAAATTAGAGGCAACGTGCTCGTGTTGAGTCAACATAAATTTGCTAGGTATGAATTTGTTCCTTCAAGTCTCTACACCCCATGGGAGCATGGACACCTGCTGGAGTTGCAGAAGAGTTTATTAGGGGTGGGGTGTAGGCAGGTGAAAGGAGGTGAAAGGAATTTTTTTGCTTAACAACAGAATGCTATTTTTAACTGCTTGTAAACTGGGATCAGGGACTGGCAAGGTAAGTTTTACTTGTAATAAAGGAGGATGAAGATGTGGAAGAGTAGCTCTGATCCAAGTTCCTGAACTTGACCAAGAGGTTTTGTGTGTGTTGGGTTTTTTTGGTCATTTTAGTGGTCACTAATTGGATAATAACGTGTCACAAGAGCATTCCACTGCCTCTGGAATGAAGAGCCACAAGGAAATTTTGGGAAATCAATCTACCAACAATCCTTTTTTATCCCACTTCTCTCAGAAGACTGTTTTTTTTTTTTATATGTTGAGTCTTGCAGTGTTTTATGAGACATGCACAGTGATACTCTCTTAGGGACAAGGCTCTTGGTCCAGATGCCATAGGTAGGAAACAAAATCCAGGTACCTGAGTGGATGTAAAGATGAATAAATACTTCCCACATTTGTAAATTCCTTTTGTGTGTAGTTTTTAGCCATTTGAACATGAAGGCTGAGCTCTTCAAAGGCTCAGTATTTCCCCTTTTTATGATTAATAAAATAGTGCTTTAATACTTTAGGACACAAGGGAAGTGTACCATTAACAAGAATTAGAAGAGTGTGGTCTTTAATGTTGTTATTTCAAACTCTTCCTCCCTGACTTGCCTTGCTCTTTTTTCCTAACCTTCTTTCCAGATGGAACGTTAATTAGTGTAGGATGTCCCCTGAGCTGAGCACTAGCTGTGGCAAACCACTTGGTGATTCTATGATTCAGTCAGGGATGCAGAAGATAAGACTTGCAAGATTCTCCATCCCCTTTTATATCTCCTATTTAACTTGGCTCTCTGGAGAGCAGAGGCTTGTCATCCTGTATATTCAGGAATTCTGGAAGTTCTCTGCCTTTGCTGAGATCTTTTGATTCCTGAAAAAGCATTTCCCTGTTGGAATGGCCCTTCATTACTGTTGAGCTCCAAGCAAAGAACAACTCATCAGCCTCTCTGAGGGGCACCCTGTAGGAACAGACACTGATCTCATCATAGAATCCCAGACTGGTTTAGGTTGGAAGGGACTTTAAAGATCATCCAGATCCCCCCTCCTTCCATGGGCAGGGACACCCCCCACCAGCCCAGGTTGCTCCAAGCCCC